ACTAGTAAGGCACTTGTTACTAATAGCTTCTTGTTACTACTAGTAAGACACTTGTTACTAATAGCTTCTTGTTACTACTAGTAAGGCACTTGTTACTACTAGTAAGGCACTTGTTCCTAGTAGCTTCTTGTTACTAGTAGTAATGCCCTTGGTACTAGTAGCCATGCACTTGTTACTAGTAGCAAGAAGCATCCAGAGGGCCATGGCCCAGATCCACTCTTTTGCACGAGTGCTTAGGTTCGCGCTTTTTGACCTCAGTTAAAACGAAGAAGTCGACTTTGGTTTAACTCTATAGACTTGCAAACTGAATTGAGTTACAGCATCTTCCCAACCAAGGTCTTGGCCCATGGAAGAGAATCCGTCCAACCATGCTTCTGGCAAATCCGGACGGTTGCCTCAGCCACGAATCTTTGGACTCCTTGCTTCGACCATTCGTCTCATTAGCACCGCTACTTGACTTGGGCCCTGGCAGCACCCAGCATCTGTCCACCCCGCAGCCCGGAGTAGAAGGCAGCCCTTGCATGGACCACTGAACAACTCAAAACAGCAAAAACACCTCCGGCCTGCAGCAAGACACGGCCACTTTCAAGCAAGCATCCGAAACGTCCCAGAGCGTGCCGAGGACAGCTCTCTTGAATTAGCCAACGTCAAGATCTCCACGGAGATATATAAATGGGTGAAACATCAGAAACGGCCCAAGCAATTTGAGTCACAGCTTGTTGGCCACGATTTGCCTCAAGCTTCTCACTGGCGCTCCAACGTGAGCCCCAGCAACAACAACATCTCCCGCTGCCTCTCAAGGATGGACTGCTCCCTCTCCAAGCGTTCCCTCTCCAGTGCCTCAGCCTCCTGGCCAGGCAAAACCACAGCTGGAAAAAAAAATCTCACCAGCATAGACCCAGATAGCTAGGCAGTATCCCACGACCTGTTGACATGCGATTGGCTGGAACAAGAATGTACGCAGCCTGCACAGCCAGCGTACGGCACCTCCACAGCGCGCACAACCAGCTGACACCGGCACCGGTGCGCTTTGCCAGCTGACAACACCCGCAGCGGCAGCGCCGCCGCCCGTCTTAAACGCGCGCTCAGCCAGGTCACAGCACCAGCACCCAGGACCACAACACCAGCACCAGCCGACACCCTTTCGAAAGCGCGCCCAGCTCATTTATTTGCGAAGAACCCCATAGCTATCCCTATTTGGGGAATAACAACGTACGATCTTGCGCGCATAAGTTTATGCGCACAAAAAGTATGCGCGCAAACGGCAAAGCCCGTAAGTGTCATTGGCCCAAGGGCAAGCAATATCCAGCGCCACTATATTGACTTTGTAGCATTCCTGAAGCAACGATCTCAAGAACGATAAGGCCGTATGATCTTGTGCGTAAAAGTTTTGGCGCGCAAAAGTATGCGCACAAGCGGCAAAGCCCGTAGGCTTCACTCGCCCAAGGCCAAACACTATCCAGCACGACTATCGTGTGCGTAGCATGCTGAAGGACGCTGAAGCCATGGTCGGTTGAGAGCCTGACGTTGCGCATAGAACATGTACAAAAGTACACGCGCAAACAGCACAGCGGTTGACACAGCTGTCGGCCAAAACAGAACCTGAAGAATGTAAATACCCCACAGCGCTAATAGACGAAGAACCCTCAAGCGACACACCGTATGATGTTGCGTGCATATGCGTGCATAAGTTCATGCGGCCCATGACTGCTGGCACTTCGGCTGTTGGTCGCCCTTCACTGCTACAAGCGGCAGGTTGTCACCCTTCACTGTCAGAAGCGGCGTCTGTTTTCACTTCACTGTCAGAAGCGGGCACCAGTACCGAGCACCGGCACGCCAGCTCACACAGCACCCAGCACCGGTACCCAGCACCCAGCACCAGCACCCGGCACCCTCTCTCCACCACGTGCACAGCCTTCACGCACCGGCACCCAGTCTCCACCACGCGCACTGCCAGATCACAGCACCCAGCACCAGCAGCACCAGCACCCGCTGTCTCCACCATGCGCACTACCAGCACCCAGCACCGGCACCCTGTCTCCACCACGCGCACAGCCAGCTCACAGCACCACCAAGTGCACAGCCAGCTCACAGCAACAGCCCAGCAGCGGCACCAGCAACACCACGTGCACAGCCAGCTCACAGCTCCAGCACCAGCGCCGGCACCCGGCACCCAGCACCAGCACCAGCAACCTGTCTCCACCACGTGCACAGCCAGCTCACACCACCAGCACCGGCACCCAGCAACCTGTCTCGAAAGCGCGCACGGGCAAGTCATTGTTATTTGAAGTAAGAACCCCATAGCTTCGCTATCTGGGGAAAAACAACCCAGCGTCAAGCGTCAAACACGCGTTGCCATATTGGTGTCCACCGTTTCCTACATCCACACCTCCTGGCGCTGGAGCTCACGAGCCCTCCATTGGACCTCAAAAGCCTGGCGGCTCCTCTGCACTTCTTCATCCACATACCTCGGATCACAGCAATCTACCGAAGCTCCGATTCTCCACCGAGATCTGGTCGACTTGGCTTGCCATTGGGATGCTGTGATCCATCGAGCGGGAAATGAAACACGATGAAACACTGCAAACTAACCTGCAAAGTTCTTCGTCCAAAAGTAGGTTGTCCCTCCCGCTGTGTTCTGGTCATCCCTGCAAGTCGAGCTGCTGGAACTGCTGGAGAAGTTGCTGCTGCGCACGCCGGGTGGACTCAAGAAAGCCCAAACTTGACTCCAGCTGCGCCTGGCACGAAGCCGGGAAGGCACTTGAGAAGCAATGCTGGGGTGATGCCGTGGGGGTGTGCCCAAGGTGGGGTCATATTGCAAGTCACGCAAACCAAAAAACGGCCTGCTGAGAGAGCTGTGTCTCAACGCCTGCTTGTCGCTGCAAGAAGTCCTCCTCAGGAGCATGTGGGCCCAATACGAGAGTTTACAAGAGCAGGTCCCATCATCTCATATATATATATAGCAAAACTTGCTCTGTATGCGTGCGTGCGACTGAGCACAACCCACTCACAAAAAAATGACTTACGTAAACCCCCACAGATGCCTGCAAACCGAGACTCAAATTCGGCTTTGTGTTCCTCTTGAAGCGACCGCCGCTGGGCTAGAAGCTCGGCTTGGGAAAGGTGGTCATGAACACTGTCCAAGATCTGCAAGCTGCTGTAGAACTGTTCTTCCAACTCTTTTGCAGCAGACCGCGAGGATGCAGTGGAACCAGGCTCAATTGGAAGTGGACGATAGCTTGGCAATGGTGGCAGCTCTTCTAGAGCCTCTCGGCGCGATGAGGAGGAGCTTGGATGGGAACTTGGCATTGCCTCCTCCGCCTCGCCAGAATCGTCTGAGAATCCTTCGAGTGTGAGGTGCTTGAAGGACTCCTCTGGAAGCGTCGAGGGTGAGCGGTCGGAAGGTGCAAGGCCGTCTGAAACCTGGTTATCACTGGCGTCTACGGTTTGTGGCGGCACGGCAGGTGGAGGTGGAGGTGGCTGCTCCAGGTTTGCGACTCGATCTGGGTGGGTCCCAAGCAGCTCTTCATCCAGGACACTTTGGTGTTCAGAGCTATCCCCGCCCTCCTGGCCCTTTGGGCTTTCCCAACCTTCCAAGGATTCCACTGGACTTTGTACGCTGGTCACGTCAATTGTTCGCCACCCAGCTTTGCGGTAGAGCGCCTGCAGCACTGTCACATCATAAGAGTCATCGCGATGGCCTGCCCTGCGGCCGTTCTCCTCAACCGCGCTGCTTGACGTCCGAGATGCAGTTGGGAACCAAGTTTTTGACTGAAACGGGACCGAGTGAGTAGATCTCTCCGGGTGCTGGTTAACTGCATTTTCCCAAACGGATGCACAAGGCTTTGGGTCCCAATTGGCTTTTGAGATCTCCAAGTCAAAATGGTGGAAGCCGGCATCCTTTTCTCGCCACTCTACCTGCATCCTTCTTGGCTCATGTGGAACTGATCGTGGAACAGGTTGTTGAACAGGCTGTACATTTGCTTCCAGCCATGCCTCTTGGGCAAGGATTGCACTATCTACCTCGATGACTTCTTGACCACCTTCATCCCCAAGAGGTTCTACTTCAGGACTGCCTACAACAATATCATCCAGACAATCAATCTGTCCACGTGACGCCTCATGACCACTGGACTCAGAGTGCTGTGAAGCATTCCGGCACCTGGCAGCAGGTTGGCACACATACCCCTCCAGCTCCACACTCTTTGGTATCAGGGGAGCATCTTGGTTCATCTTGATACTCACCTCCGGCATGGATTGAACCGTCTGCACAGCTCGAGACCGCCGCTGCCTCTCACGCTCCGCCCGCACCAGGGTCGCGCGCCGCAGCTGCGCAGCGAGAGCCGGCCGGGATCTGCGCAAAAGCTTCGGTTCGTCGAGTTCGACGGGCGAACCGGGCACCTCCGAGGCCTCCGGTGAGTGGACTTGCAGCGGTGGAGGGCTGAGGCCTGCTTGATGACACACCTGTAGCAGTTGCCGCCGGATTGTGGCCGACATCTGCAAGGCACTGGCAACAGCCACGTCTCCTTGCTTCGGTTGCTTTCTGCGGTTTCGTTGGGCGTTGGTCAGAGGGATCCTAGAACAGCCGCCAGGCACCCCCTTCTTCAGCTTGACTCCTGGTCTCCCGTTAGAAGTTGGCAAGAGCACCTTGTCTTCCTGGAGGTGGTTGATCCTGAAGCCACCTCTGTCAGTGTCCTCCTCACTTTCGCTCACCTCCCCAGCATGGAGCGGCTCGTGGTGTCCTGCCTTTTGTTCACCTGGAAGGCCAAGGGCCTGTGATCCAGGCAGCTTTTTCGCGCCACGTCCCATGCGCTGAAATCCAGTGGATCCAAAGATTCCTTTTTGCAGCTTGAATTTGGATGAATGGTCGGATATCAAGTCTGTCCGGGGAGTGTGCTGCCCTGCTCTGAATGAATAGTTTGCTGAACCCGAATGCAACTGATGTTCATGATTTCATGTTGAGTCTATCTGTCTCTATATTTGTGCAGCATATATGTAGCCCACGCCTATCACACTCAACAATCTCAACCGAAATCACTTCCATGGAATTTGGTAGAGACCCCAGTTTCATTTCCCCCTCGTTGGCCCGTGCTGCCTTCAGCATTCCAGTAGGGCAAATTCGTCGATGCTACCACATGCTCACGAACTCGCCGGGTCTCTCTCATGTCCATCCATGCCGGCATGCCGTGCCAAGATGCATCAACCACCTGAAGCTTCTTTGACCATCTAGCTTAGCTTGGCTTCGCTTAGCTTAGCTCGGCTTAGCTTTGTTTGCTAGTATCAGGTTCCTGCCAACCGATGTCAGTCACTTCCAGACTTCCACTTCCCCAAACTGTTCCTGCAGCTGCTTTCGTTGAACTTGTGATTGATGATTTCCCTCAACTGCTGCTCAAGTCTTCAACGCACGAAAACAGTGCCTACTCCTGTCACCGGCTGCGTGTAGGATACGGTGGCTACAAAAAGATTGGTTCGCATCTTTGACATGCTTTATTGCTGGATGCTGCTTTGCTGCTTCGGAACCGAGCGATTGTAACTCCAAACTGTATATTGAGTTCGTTACCATTGACCATGCATTGCCTCCATACCTGCACCTTCTCTACATAAGGAGAATAACCTGGGATATGAAACAAAGCTTCCGTCAACGCCTGATCCTCGCAAAGAACCAGACCAGCAAAATCACGATCGCCTGCACATGGGTCCCATTTTTCCACCCTCCCTGGCAGCCTTGTTGGTTGCACATCTTGAACTGAAAGGTTGGGGTTGTTCCTGCTTGTTCAGAAGGAATGAAGCATTTCAAAACAGGGCGATGCAGCAACTCACAAATCGGCGAAGCACACCCACTATAATATCTACATATCTACATATCTGCATTTATATATATACACACATACACATACACACTGTATATATATATATATACATACACACTGTATATATATATATATCTACATGCATAAATACATACAAAAACAATGATGATCCACCGCACAGTGGGCTGAAGAGCGATAAGCGTGACCCACCTTTAAAGTGCTGTCGATGATGACATCTACCCAATTCACCAAGTTCGAACCCAGCGCATACCTGTGAGCAGGGTGTGCAATCATGTCCGAATGACTGTAAAAGCTCGCCCGGCATTCGATGTAATTACAATCATGTTGTTCGCTCTAAACAGTTCCCAACGCGATCTCAAAGCAATTGCGGAGGAGCATGCGAACCACAAACCCTGCCAAAAAACGCTAGAGGAGGCGCAACAACCCGTGTCACCTCAGTTGTCCAACACCGGGTTGGCAGTGGCACCCATCCGATTTACACTTGTCCCTCGAACATGCACATTCACGGTCTCTTTCCGTTTCTGCTCTTCTGGCCTGCCCAGTGGTTCCTCAGGCGCCAACCGGAAATTTCACCATCTCAGAGATCGCCAGGGCATAGGCTGTGGTTTGTGCAAATTTGAGGCTTAACCTAAACAACACGCAACTCCCCTTCTGCAACAGAACCAACCGCTGGAAGTATGAGCCCCGAACGTGGCGATAACTGCTAAGTATGCAGACCAAAGGTTGCCTACAGCACCCTGCAGACGTTTGGGATCTGCAATGCCTCAGGGTGAATTCACAATATTCAATCAAAAAACATTCGATGGTTGGACAACTCTGAGTCTAGACTTTCCCGTTTCCCTCTCACACTTTTGGGGCGAGTTGGGACGTTTTGCCGAGACGCTTTGCATCACCAATATGGTTTTGTGCTGGACGAGCTCTTGGCTGCCCATGGCCTCCACATCTCGGATGCCATCCTGGAAAAGCGTTTGCAGGGGCCTTTCATTGCCTAAATGGTGCCCAGCTGCCGTCGAGCATCTCGGTTTGCATCCACTTGTTCATCAGCATCGTGGGCTTTCAAAACCTACCAGCTCTGCAGGTCAGCCATGTCCCGTGGTGCCACTCCATATGCCTTCCAAGTGGCATTGTCTAACTCCAGCTGCACATATGCCATATCATCATACAAGCTCTGGCCACCCATGGTGCGGAAAGCTTCGACCGCCGCAATGAGCGCAACAAACCTCGGTCCTAGTAGCCTCCTTTGCTACCTTTAATTCTATTTACGAATTTTTGTTCCTACTAGCTTCTTGTTACTAGTAGTAAGGCCCTTGTTACTAGTAGCGATGCCCTTTGCTCCTAGTAGCGTCCTCTCTTCATTTTCCGTTGGTTCCATTCTTTGGCAACCCAAAACTCCTGTTCATGCAGCTCAGGCGCACGCCGCCGAAGAAACACAGTATAAATCCAATCACAAATTTCAATTCATCTTGTGGCAGCTTCTCAACAAAAGCATAGGCAGCTGAATATAAGCCTTGGTCCCAACATGGGTCTTGGGCAACAAATAGTTAACAATTTTGCAAACCCAGGTGCTGAAGTAGAGCTGGACAACGTAGCGCAAGCCACTCAAGGTTGCAAGCCTCAGTTCGCCATCTTTGACGCCGGAATTGGGGAGCTTGCCTACAGGCTTGGCAGCCCTGGCACTGCACACGTGATGAAAACACGTGGGGGACACACTTGCTCGGAACCTTTTGTCCTCCATGGGCCTGTGACAAGACCAGGTGCTCCAACATGCTTCAGCACCACGTTTGACGACTCATTTGTGGATTGGGAATCCTGGGTAGAACACAAACACGCAAAGTGAGCGAACACCACACCAGGTGCCTAAAAGTTGGTAAGTGCGCACTGCGGTACAGTACCGGTTGATTCGCACGCGTCATCTTCATGATCCCGTCTCCATGCATGAGCCGGACAGCTGATGTTTCGCACTTCTCCGTCAGGCATGTAGTGTTTCGCGCGAGTCCGGCCTATGGAAGGTGGTGCTGTCCCCAGTGTTGGCAGTTTCTTTACTGGTCTGAGGTTTGATGCTGGCCTGACCCCAGATTTGCGCAATCCACGGTGTGGTTCAAGGGCCTGCGAGGCGGCTGGGTTGGGGCGGTTCGGTGGGGAGGTCTTGTGCGGCCGGGCAAGGGGTTCACCTTCGACAGTTGTGTGTGTGTGTGTGGGGGGGGCAGAATCCAAGGCCTGGACAGAAGTCGCGTAAGCTGTGAAAGCTGCATGCGTGAGCATGGCAGACCAGCGGTGGACTGCTGTTCGTTCGAGTGGCCCCCCGCGACTGCGCAAAAGTCCCAACTGTGCACACGCTGATCGATGGTCGCCCAGTGTGTCAAAAGGGCGACGGCATCGACAAGTCCTAGTGGACAGGGGGAATGGGCAAACGGAATCTCCGAAGCATGAGCAGACGGAAGTGTTCAGACGTGTATGTGGACTCTGGGGGTATATGGTATAATGGGACGCTGGTTCAAGCGTATGCCCGGATTCATGGTCTTGGAGGGCCGCGGCGAATGGCCGAACATCTCGGCTCGGCATGCTTGCGGAGTGATGTCGCAGCTGGCTGTTGCCATCCTCGTTGTTGGGGGGCCCACTGGTTCTGGTGCTGCGGGAGGTTGCTGGTCTGGGCTGGCGGGGGTACCCCATGAAGGACAACCCGCGCTATTGAAAGGCCTGCGCAGCTGTCCGTGCTGCTTGGATGGCTGCGGGCGCACGTCTCGGGTCGGACAATTGTTGGATGATGGTGTTGGTGAGGCTGGGAAGCTGGCGCTGGAGGACGGGGAGGGTGGGCCCAGGACCCCCAATGCGCAGCTTGCGCAGTGACGGCTGCGGCAGTTAAAGCCTAGACCCCTGGTTCCTGCTACTGCTGGAAGTGGAGTACGACGATGACGAGGAGCCACTCCCATCATCCGAGGCAGGAGCGCGTTTGGCATGTGCTTGTCTTTTTCGCATAGCTAGTGCCTTCCTAGTCTGAATAAAGGTTGCAGTCTTGTCTAAATAGGTTGGGTCAGTAGCGAAGAATTGTACAAATCTCGCCCATGTGTCTTCACGGAGCGATATCTTGTAGGCTATTTGTAGATCTTGTCTCCACAATAGAATGGACCATCACTCAGCAGTTGACTGTTTTCCACTCCTCCTGTTCCAGATTCTTTGTCACCTTTGACTCCTGACCAGCCAGACACTCCAGTTGTCGACGTCTCCTGAGAAACGACAACATGGTTTTCCTGTGTTTGAACGCCCTTCGACCAAAGCTCGTCCTGCTATGCCAGCGCCACAGATGCCTGCCTCGGCTTCACCTCCACCGGTTCCGCCGAGCAACCATCTGGGGCCGTGGAAGCGTGCCGAAGAATTGCTGCAAAGCGGGCCCGTGAGCCCACCTGCCATTGTCCAAAGGCGAAGATCGTGCTCTCCCTCGTCAAGAGGAGCAACCGGCGGGTGCGGAGACGCCTCATACAGACGAAACCTATCTGGTCCCGGAAGGCAATGGACGCTTCTTATTCCACCACGCTCTCCTCAAAGGAGCGGCGCGCATTTTTGCGGCTCGTAATGTCCAAAAAGGAGTATGAAGTGATAGCTAAATGGCGAATTGCTGGTTTGGACACTACAATCAATCGACCGGGTTGGTACATTCTGTCCTCCGCGAGACACTGCACGGTCACTGATCGTGATGCGCTCAAAAAATATTTTACCCGAGCTACCCACCGGCGGCCCAACCAGGAGATCGGCCTTATCCTATTGGACAGAAGACAAATCTAAGGTGAAAAGGCAAGGTGGTCAGTTCTGAAAGCAGTGTGGTTGGTATAGACCTAGGCACCCGTATTCTTAAGGTCAACATCAGCAAGGATCGAAAGGATATAAATCCAATTGAACATGCTATGGGGCCGCTCGATCCAGTAGCACTACTGACTTCTGAGAGCGCACGGACCGACATTCCGGTCTCTGACCTGGCGTCGAAGGCTTTACATACTCTGCTCATGCACGGCAACCAGTCATGTCTGGTAAGATTGATTTCCTTGAATTTTGCGCAGGTTCAGCACGGCTGAGTCAAGTAGCTGTCATGAATGGTTTATGAGTTGGACAACCTATTGACCTTCGAACAGGTTTTGACATCTTAACCAGTGACGGTCGTAAGAGGACGATGGAGATCATCGAGAAACAAAAGGCCAAAGTCATCTTTATGGCGCACCACTAGGCTCCTTGGAGCCAGATGACCAATATCCATGATCACTATGCTGCAGAAGTTTCTTCCAAGGTTAGAGTTTTGCTGTCGCATTGCCATATTTCAAATTGAACACGGAGGCCACTTCATCATTGAGAATCCTGCTTCTTCAGCATTGTGGTGCACCAGATGTTTTCAGCGTCTTTTGTCACAACGTGGTGTTACCTATGGCACTCTTGATATGTGTTCATTTGGAATGAAATACAACAATGGCTATTACTACAACAAACCAACATCTCTTCTGCACAATTTCGATGAAGACATTATGTCACCGGTATTCAAGAGATGTCGTAATAAGTTCGGGGGTGTTCAACATCAGCGTCAGCCATTGGAAGGTTCAGCACCAGGCTTTGGAAGCAGAACCAAATTAGCTCAGGTATATCCATATCGTTTCTGTTCCAAGCTCATTCGCTGTCTTCTGCCGCTGGGAAGCCATCATGGATTGTTTCACGCGCAGGCTACCGTAGTCGTAATTTTGCTTGACGGACCTGACATTCCGAGTCTGAAGTCACTTCCTGACAGAAGACACGGATCGAGAATTTGTTCACTTCAGTGAACTTGACAGTGTAACAATCAAGGATTTTTATGTCCGACGTATGATGAATCGTGTTAACTCACTCCCCAAGGGACATGAGTATAATCCTTGGTCTGAGTCATTGCATATTGCACATGATGTTTCACATATGCGCCAGATTATTGCACCAACCATGGCATTTGAGCACGCCACAGTTTGGCGAGGTACTTTTGAACCACTAGAGGTCAGAGCCCCTAGTAGCGTCCTTGCTCCTAGTAGCGATGCCAGGAAGTACCGACACACCGCAGGCGCATTGTTCTTATGATCTAAGAAGGATACAAATATGTTGTACATACAGTCACATCTTTTTGACGACTTGTCGAAGTTAGCGGGGTCAAACTGGAGCTGTGTTTTCTTTTGGAACTCTGATGGTAGCGTGCCGTCTAAACCTGTCACAACACGTGTCAATCCGGACGCTGTTGGTGCTCCTCCAGCAGCACCACCACCTGGCTTGGAACCTGAATTCTGATGCTTGTCTGGGGGTCAAAGCAGTTGACGGTACGCGATCTCGTACCCGGATGGATCCTCAGTCACGGCCTTGAGCATCAGGGCGATCTGCTTCTTGTACATGCACACAGCTTCTTCAGCCCTATGTGGCCATGGAGTACCAGGTCCTAAAGTAATCGGTCGGATGTTCTTAAGGCCTCAAGTTCAGTACCCATGAAACCTTGATCACCGACAAGATGCTTAGGATTCAGCTGGTATGCCTCAAGGTACTCCAACAGATGTCCAATGGTCTCTGCTTTCGTCTTACAGACATAGGCAGTAGTCATAGAGGTGGCACCGTCATAAATGATCAAGAAAAGAAGTTTGGACTTCTCGTTGGTAGCGAGTTCGCCCTGATCGACAAAGGTGAGTTCACCGAACGTTTCTCATACCTGAAATTCTTGATCGAGATGGTGCAATGTTAAGCCTCTGACAAGTTTCACACTGTTTGACTACTTTGTCATGTTCTTCACAAATCTATTGCAGGAATCTTCAATGCTGATGTTCGTTTCTTAAACTGTTCAATTGACATGTGATAGTGTTTGAATGGCAGTTTCGAAAAAGTTCTGTAGGATGGGACTTCTTTTCAAAAGTTCTCTGCAATGCTAACGGCAATGTCATTGAAACCTTTGGGGCTTTCTTCTCTCTATGGACTGTGGTTGGTTCTGTTTTCACGTCTTCCTTCATGTTTTCCTGAGGATCTGGCTTCACCGGCTTGTCTTGCCCTGCAAGAGAAGCATCTGGCCTTGCTGCTCCTGAACTGGAACTTGAAATATTCGAATGCTCAAACATTGTTGCAAAAATCAGGCGATTTTTTGTTCTCCGAAATGAAGGGGTTGTCACATTCTTGGCCGGTGGAGGCATCGAAACAAGTTTCGAAGGCGGATCGATCTTGGCATCTCCGATCGCAATTTTTTTTCCGGCTTCTTTGCGGCCGGAATGTCGGCTGCTGGCTTGTCCTTCTTGTCATCAAACGAACCTGCCTTCTTGCATCCTTCCTTGTATGTATGTGCTCGACGCTTGCCATTGCAAGCTGATTCACTGCTGTGAAACTGTGATTCAGCTTTCGGACTGAGCTTGGAAACATCATGATGTCTAAGACATTGAGGTTCGAAGTGCTCACTGGCAACGAAAACGTTTCAAGTTGAAAAGTGGACAAGTTAGATAGTCGCCGACAGGAGTACGCTCAATGGATATGCCCAGATTGCGAAGTTGCTCGACGCTGAAAAGGATTGGCGCGTCTCCTTGGTCTAAAATGTCCATGGCAGCGGAAATCCACCCAGTGGGTGCCTGGTCATTCTGAAAATAGA